CCCCCCCCACACAGTATTGGAGCACACTGGAAACACGAGAATCGAATTCCCACACGCTTACTGTAGGGCTCGATCTTGTTTAAAATTCAATTAAAAACACATGCAAACTAAGCTCAGTCAACGTTTTCCGTCTCAGGGGTGTAGTTGAAACGAGAACAAAATTCTGATCAAGTGAACACCTATCCGGAATGACGTTTAAAAAATCGGACCTGTTGAACAAAAAACGAACCTGCAAGGCGTCGAAATTCGACGTTTCTGTTTACAGTGAGCGGAGCAAGACCAGAGCGGAGTGATCGGCGAACTGTTTTTGCACGCTATTTGCACGGGCGCTGCGAGCGTGCCAGCGTGCCGCGGCCGGGCGTCGAGAAAGGATCACAGAGCGAGGGGCGCACAACACGACTGCCAAAGGATGGACCATCAAACAAATGAAACGGAGTAATTGGGGCTGGTTAAATAAAAACAGACTCAGGTGAGAAAGAAAATTTTGGCGAGGGGTCTAAAACTGGTGAGCTCCATGCTGCATGTGCTCCTATGTCCCAGGCTGACAGTAATTAGGGTGAACTCCAAGTACTCTGTACTCTTGCCCCCCACCCCCCTCCCTCCCCCGATTCGAGTTGTCGACCCGCGACCTCGTCCATGCTACCGGCCTTACTACTAGCAATCCATGAGTAAGAGGAGATAATATTTCCTCGCCTAATCAAAAGCGATTATAGGTATTCACCTCGCCCTATTTTACTTATGCTTTTGTGACTTCATTTGAGGAAACGAGAGATATTTTTCCGGTAGAGTAATCATTACCATAAAACTTGTGCCGAGTATACTAGGTAATACATGCAACGCACAACGATTTTCGAGCATATTTTATCACATCAGGATTTTCACGGCACAGCGATACTGATGAACCAATAATGCCAAAGCATACCCCTTGCACCACTTTCCTGTAATCATGAATAAGTACATTTTTTTTGTACATAAAATTGTGACCGTTTGTTTTGGAACTAACCACACAAGTAACCCCTATCATGACGAAATTGCTGCACAAGTCGTGTAATTACGCTCAAAACTTGAGCGTGAGGACGTCACGGTAAAAACGTTCCATTTTGAGGTAGAGGTGGAAAACTTTGAGTAACTCCCAAGTTTGAGGAAAAACTGCTCACATAGCATGCCCACGTGTATAAGCAGAAAATAAAGAACAGACAACCAACAAAAGTGTCCAATCTCCAGAGGGGCGCGGTCACGTGTTGCACCTGGTTGCACTCACCGACTCAACCCTACGACAGGCCTGCCCTTCCCTCCGGGCCGGCGGGTGGCGGGCGGGGCGGGGGTCGAGCAGAGGCAAGCCCTCGGCGGAGGCGCGGCGCGGCGTGGGGCGGCGTGGCGGTGCGTGGCGCGGAGGGGCGGAGGCGTTCCCTGTCCGGTGTGGAGCCGCGGCGGTACGCAGCCTCACTGACAGCCCCGGCCAGCGCGACCAGCCCCCTGCACCGAGCCAACCCCCACCCCAACCCCGTAGGGGTAGGGTAGGTGGGCTGGGGGTGGCCAGGGGGTG